CCTCTCTGGGCTGGGGATTGTTGCTGCCATAGGAGGTGGCGAGGAAGGCTGCTCCCCTAGTGCCCGCACCCCCGTGTCCGGCACGCACTCTCCCAAAAACCCCAAAGTCCACTTAGAGTCACAGAATGGTTTGGGTGGGAAGGGACCTTAAAGATCATCCAGTTCCAACCCCCCTGCCATCAGCAGGGACACCTTCCACTAGACCAGGTTGCTCAAAGCCTCATCCAGCCTGGCCTTGAACACCTCCAGGGAGGGGGCATCCACAACTTCCTTGGGCAACCTGTTCCAGTGTCTGACCACCCTCACAGGGAATAATTTCTGCCTAATATCTCATCTAAACCTCCCCTCTTCCAGTTTAAACCCATTTCCCCTTGTGCTGTTACTACCCACCCTTGTAAAAAGTTCCTCTTGGAATAGTAGGCTTGGGGTATTGGCGCTGCTGACTTCTGCTGGGGGGTCATAGTGGGGGTATCACAGCTGCCAGGGTCTACGAGAGATTGGAAATGTGAGGATCCCAAATTGCAATCCTTATTGTCATTCTAAAGGAAATAAGGTGGGAAATGTGGTTTTATTCTCATAACTTCCAAGCTATGGACAAGAATGTGAAATGCTCTCCTTCCAAAGCAGATGGGTGGAATCCAGACAATATGAGACACAAAAAACTTGTGCAGGAACTAAAATAAACCTCAGTGTTCCTGTATCACGCTGCTGCATCTGCCTGAATCATTTAAAGGTGTCCATCCCCAGTTATCCAATGGACCTCCATTCTTAGTGGCCATGAGTCTTTGCTGAGGCTTGCTGCTGTTTGCATAATATTGTTAATGGCCATAGTGGGGGTTGTCACTCTGATAGGTGTTCCTCTCAGGAAAATAAGTGTTTCAAAAGAGGAAGGTACCAAAAGCATTGCTGGGGTAGTGAATGTTTGCTAGCGTGAAACCTTACAGTGTGGACACTTGATGGCACCCTGATCTTAAGAACTGAAGGGAAGTAAGTCTAATGTAGTTGTTAAATGTTAGCTCTTCGGTCACTAGGGTGGACCCTAAGCACACTAAAATTCCTTTGTATGCTTTTTTTATTTTAAAAACGCTTAATCTTCTAGGATCACAATGAATTTTGTGAGAGAGTACTTTTCCCATCTGTAAAAATAAACAAAACCAAATGTAATTACAACCAAAACAGCATATTTATTATTAGATTATTAGTGACAAGCAGTTAAGAACACTGGAATTGTCTTGATGATCCTGTGTTATTTGATGATGCTGGTTCTTCACTTGTAAAACCCTGAATTTGTCCTGCCTGCTCTTTCAGCATCATAGCAATCTGTTATGAAGAGAAATTTCTCTTCCTTTTTCATTCTTCTGAGCTATTCTAAAAAAAAATCAGGGGGTTGTGGTGAGGAGTGGATCAAGAAGTCTAACACACAAAAGTTAACCAGCTGTAATGGATTGGATAATACCAAATATTTTTACAATCTATTGGCGGTCTTTAATTAAATGCACGAGCAGTGGTACCAAATACCGTGTTTTCTATTATCTCCTTGAATGTGGATCACATTTCTCTACAGTAACTGAAATCTGGCTTGTTCTCATTTGCTGAAGCGTGGTCTCTCTTGGTGAAGTGATAGAAACTCTTGATAAGCTGCTGACCCACTGGGCCACCAATCTCTTAAGTTCCACCTCTTCCCTTCAGAAGCTGCTTGTTGCTCAGAAAGATCCATGCTGTAGAAGAGAAGGCTGCAAAGGATCTGGGCAACTTTTTGACGTGCCTTTCAGAGCTTGTCAGTCTGTTTCTGCACGTTTGGTTCTTGTACTTTACTCCTGCAGCACTGGTGAAGATATATAGTCTGCCTGGCAACAAAGTCCTCCAGAGAAAGTAGCTTCTTAAAGGCAAGGTGTCTTAGGGGCTAAATGAAAGTTCTTGTCAAGAGCAGAATAAAATATACAAATATTTTCATAAAGATATTTTAGAAGGGGGGGGGGGGAAAGCCAGCCTATCTAGAGATTACTGCATGTAGCCTCCTATCTCTTTAAAAAATAAATGCATATATTTGTCGTTTTGTGGTGAAATTACTCAATTTCTGCTTATACTGATATAGTTACCCATTTTAAAAGCATATACAAAGTCCAGAAAGTAACTGATGCAAGGGGTCTTAAAAAAAGAGTATCTTGTAAATTAGAAAGTGTAGTATTCTTTTGTTATACGTCCCACATGGATATAGTCCAAAAGTGGTGCTTAATATGACAAAACTAAATGACTTGAAAAAGTGGTTTGATAAGCAAAGATTTCCCTATTTCACTTCCTGCTTTCACAAGTACTTGGCAATGTAAAATCTCTTCGGAGCTGTTTGAAACATTTGCTTCTTTGAAAATATTATTTAAAAGGCTATCTAGAGGAGCTGGGAAACAGAGGTTTCCCTGCTGGATAAGAACAGCAATCAGAATATTCACTTTTAATTTCCTGTCTCCAGAGTTGTCCAAAACCCTATGTCTTGGAGGAAATAAAATAAATGCTAGAAAGGACAACTTGGCCTAAATCAATTAATAGTGTGATTATGGTATGATCTTAAGCATGTGAGTATCCCCATGTTTATTTCATCTTTTCTATGTGTTGAAGTGCTTTGCAAGATCTGAGCTTTAAGGGGAAGCCTAGTTGTATCTGACCATCAGTCTTACTAATTAGGGAAGCTTTTGCTTTCTGTAAAACTAAATGGCAGAAAAAACATTGTCGTGGCTTCAAATGGTACCTGCTTCTAAAACAAAAAGAGATGCTCTGTGCATCAGTGAATATTTTTACTTTTCATTTATTTTGATAACTTAAATGTCTATAGCATGTACTTATCTCTGAAAACATCTGTGTCAACCCTGTTCAGAAATCATTTTCACACCTCTAATGCTGTTGTGGTTTTGCAACCATTACAACTGCATTAATTTCATATTTTAAAGTTTTTCTCTGACGTAGGCTACAAACATGGCAAGCAAAATCACTGCATTAAAAAGCTAAAACCCTGTTGACTCATGTCCACACTTGATCTAACCTGGTTAAAGCTCCATGTGCAATACTTTATTTTTAAAATATCGTCAACACATTGATTTTCTGATCTATTTTAGGACATTATATTGGCTTTTTAGTATGAATAGCATATAAAACAGTTGATTAAACCAGCCTTCTGAAATGTCAAACTCTCAAGTCACTTAGATATCAATACCTAGAGTTAAAACTGTTATGAGAAAGATCCAAGAGGTCGATACTCAACCATACACAAAGGAAAATATACCTTGAAATATCAAAAGCTCTTCTAAGGGTATAAAATTTTCCCATACTCCTTGTAAAGATTCTATATCACAGACCTCAGTAATTTAGCATTATTTACAGAGATACACAACCAGGCTAGTAAAAGATGTGACAGACTGAGTTTAAATGAGTGAGATATCTTGTGTGAGGTACAGTCAAGAGATATTTCCAAAGAACTAGTGCCAATTTCTAACCTCTAGTTCACTTCAAACAATCAGTTGATGAGCCTGCTAGCTTAGGCCCTCAGCCTTTTGTGTGGTTTTGGGCCCTATAGTACAAAACGATACTTTTACATTCACAAAGAAAGCAAACATTTTTTTTTCCCCCTACAGAATCCTAAATTAGCATCTCTAGGTAGCTAATTTGATATATCCTTTTCATTTATGTACAAATACCCAAATGTATGAGCAAATACAAGCTTGAGTAAATACAAATTCTGTAATCTTTTCCATCTGTGTTAGAGCCAAAATCCAGGACAGATTCTGCAGGCTTTCATCACAGACTTGATTTCACAAAATTCAATTCCACTTTTTCGCTAGACACAACTTACAATGCAGCGGAAACTTCTTGTTCTCCAGTAGATTGTGTGTAGGTGGAGCTAGCTCGTTCAGCTGTGTCAACATAGAAAACGGGACAGTATTTGGAGAAGTGGAGCGCAATCTGCTTTCGGAAGAAGCTATGAAGATACTTCCTAAATTTTTCTCCAGCGAAGGCATAAATTACCGGATTGATACAACAGTGGATCATTGAGATTGTTTCTGTTACTTGGGTTGCTTTGTGCAGTTGCCCACTGCCTTCACAAGTAGTGATGGAAAATGTACCTTGAAAGTCACGCAAGAGAATGCAAATGTTGTATGGTGCCCAGAAAAAAAAGTAGACAATCATGATGATAAAAATAAGCCTGACTGCTTTATGTTTCTTCTCATTCCTACATTGCAGTAATGTCTTTATAATTTGTGTGTAGCTGCAGATCATAATGAGCATTGGGATAACAAGTCCCAGGATGTTCATTTTTAAGGTCAGGAATTGCTTCCATATATATCTCTGGTCTGGTGGATAATGAGCACTGCAAGTATAACGTGAA